GAGTTGGGAGCTGCGAATACCACAGCCGATGGCATGAAGAGATATACGGCGCCGTTAGCTTAGTTCAGCGAATTAAGAAATCGCTAGGTTTGTGAATACCCCGGCTTTGAAAGTTTTCAATGCAGTTACCGTCGGTGGAAGCAGAGAAAGAGTAAGACCTCCACTCCGTTGGAAAACCAGGTAGAGAAAGATCTGGCTGAACTTGGCGCCAAACAGCGAAAGAAATGAATGAATGACAATAATTTTGACTACAATCGCATACAATCGCAAAAGATTAGATGCTAATATAATAAAATCATATTATTCGCACTCCACGCTTTCTAATTCTAATCCAAAACTCTTGCCGCCAAATCTTATCAGCAACGTTTTGTTATCAGCAGGAAATATGACGCAGCGATTAACGGAACGCCCTTATAAAATAACATCGAGCCATTCTAATTGTTCCTATATATTCATATATCTATACAATATATATATCTAGAATGGAAATAAAAAAGGAGGTAGTAGCAGTCACAAGTGAGTTAATAAAATGCAACACCGTTATTTCATCAGCATTTCAAAATAGAAAGCATAACTATCTTCACTACGATTTAACACACTTTTTAAAGTTCAACAACTAAGACGTCAACGCGTCAATTTTATTTTTAATTTTATTTTTAATTTTTTTTTATTTTATATTTTTTTAATCATACTGCAGTTACTTAATATACGCAATCAAATCATAAAAAGAAAAACGAAATCAATGTTCATATATGGCAATATAACACACACACGCACACAAACACAATATAATAGCAGTATAGCGTTCATATTTATTTATAATCATTATCAATTATTTACCGCATTCTCAATTGGTTCTGTACTTGAGTTTGCCGCCAATAATTTGATTTTGTTGTTGTATAGTATAGATTGATTTTGATTGCAACAGGGATTGCGAATTGGTATGGATTGTTTTGTGCGGATTTTGTAGTCAATCATCCAGTTATACTTGTTTACTAGTGCGTATGCACATATGTATGTATGGATGTATGCATGCTTGTTTATGCATTTTACAAATGCACACGCCCATTAAAAATGTGGGTCATTTTGCAATAGGCTTTATTAATCATGCGTATGCCTGCTAAATATATATACATATATTGTATATATATCTATATAGATATTTCAGCTGGTTATGCCTCAGAAATAATGAAAAGAATCAATAGTATTATTATTTATTTGATTGCTTCGAATTAATTTCACTTTGTGTTATCTATGACTTATAACGTAAATTCAATAAAAGTATCATCTATAGATGAAATATATGTATTAAAAATTATTTGATTATTTAGTTTAAATACAAATTTTATATAATAATTATACATAAGGAAAATAATTTTGTTGAAATTTTCTTTAATTATATTTTATTATATTTTCTTAATTTTATTTTATTTTATTTTATTTTATTTTATTTTATTTTATTTTATTTTATTTTATTTTATTTTATTTTATTTTATTTTATTTTATTTTATTTTATTTTATTTTATATTAATTAATATTATTCTATGTTATTTTATTTCATATTTTTTCCATTTTATATCATTTTCTCTTTTAATTTTCATTCATTTTACTCTTAATAATTTAATTGCAAGTGCGAAATTTTAGTTTTTATTCCTATTTACGATAAATTGACATGTAAGCATTCTCAATTTTCGCACTAACTGCTTAAGTGTAATTTAATAAGTATTAACGTCATTCTAAAAACCATTTAATGTTGAATAAAGTACGATATTACCTTGCACTGATTTATTAATTTCAAAAAAAAAAAATAACACATATAAAAGCATTTTCTGCGTCTTTGCTCTTACTCTAAGTTTTATTTTAAAATAATTAAAAATTAATCATACTTAATTCGCGCTCAACTTACCATTTATACCGCTGATGAGTGGATAATTCCCATCTCGACCGCCGATTAGATTTTTTAAACCAGTTTCGATCAGTGTTGGGGACGATCGCTCCCGGTCACTCATTTTTCACAAAATTTTTAAGCTTCGTGGGGGTGAGAGAATCAAATAAAATCAACAAGAATACACGTTGTGTATACACAGCTCAAATACTTGTTTGGGTTTTATTTGTTTTTTTTTTATTGCTTTTAACTTATTGACTTAGAACAGGAATTAAGCCAAAAAAAAAAACTTGTTTATTTATTAGTGTTGTAATTTTATTTGATTTTTTTTTTTTTGATTTCTCAAATTTTGTGTTTTTATTATTTTGTTCACTACGGTTTGTAATTCGTTTACTGGTTACAGTTAACTGTTTTTTTTTTTCTTGCTTCCTTTGCATTAAATTTGTATTCTTAATTTTAATATTATTTTTGTTTAATCACAATAACAGGAATTTATTGATTTATGTATAACGTTCTTTTTGCGTAGTTGTTGTTGTAGTTGCTTTTTATAATTTATTATTTTATATTTTAACAATAAACAATTCTACAGAGAATTGCATTTATAGACTTAATTATAAAAACAAATTAATTTTATGTATATAAATTTTATATATATGTATATATATATATTTGTATATATTATAACTTTTGTTTGTTTTTAACAAATATTGCACTTGAGAACGTTTGTTTGCGTTTGCTTTGGGCTGTCTTAAGGTATTTTTTTGTTTTTTTTTGAAATATTTATTTTTCAAATTTTTTATTTATTAATTTTTTTTTAGTTTTTTTATTTTTAATATTCTACTAGCAATATTTAGCCTAGTTGCTCGTGTTTTTGTGTTTTTTGTGTGTCTTTGTGACTTTAAGCAAACACGTTTTGTTTTTTGTTTCTAAATATTTTTTTATATATTTTTTATATATATATATATTGTTGCTGTTTTTAGGTATTTTCCGCTGGAAGAGCGCTCTCTAAGTAACTGAATTGCTTACGTTTCTACGTTGCAGGTATGTTTTGTCTTATTATTGTTGCTAGTTGTTGCCTCTACGTTGTTGTTACTTGTTAATAATTTTGTTGCATTTAATATATTTTTAATTTTTTTTATTAATTTAACTTTGCTTGCTAGTTGCTGCAGTTGACGTTTGGCATTAGTTGCTTGTCACTGTTGTTGTGTTTTTTCTTTCTTTTATTTTGTATATATGTATAAGCTATTTTCTTGTTGCACTTTTTTTGCTTAAATTGATTTAGGTATTTTTACATTTTTTTATTTGAAATTGTGTCCAATTTTCTTTTTATTTTTCAACTTATATATATATATATATATATATATATGAATGTGTATTTTTGCTATAAATAAAGGCACCGCGAATTCATTTAACAATAACAACAACAATTGTATTTGAAATAGAAAAAAATCTTGTTGCTGGCTCGTTTGCTTTGAATTTATTCTAATTTGAATAAATTTTAATTTATTAAATTTATCTCTTTTATTTATTTTTTCTTTTGCTTTTGGTTATGGCTTTGCGCCTTGTTAGCTTGTGTTGAAGCGTTAATAATTTTTATCTTTTACTTGTCATACATTTTTTTTTTGCATTTCTTTATGGCGTGATTTTATTTGTTTAATTATTTTTGCAATTAATTTTCAGCACTATAATTGATAAATGATTGCAAGCGTATGCGCTCGTTAGGCCAGCATGAAGACCTTGATTTTGTTTGTAATGTGCTATTGTTATTTTTTTTTTAACAAAATGCTAAATAAATATTTTTGCTCAACTTGTGTTTTTGATTTTTTTTTAATATTTTTTCAATTTATTTAATTAAATTTTAAACAATTTCCAATTTTTTTTTTAATTTTTTCTTATTTTAGTTTTTAAATTTTATAATTTTCTGTATTCTTTTGGGTTTTTATAAATTTTAATTTTATTTTTTATTACTTTTAATTGTTATTTTACTTTAACAATTTGTATGCTTTTATTATAGTTTTATTTGTCCCTCAATTATAAATGTATTTTCTCGAAATTCTAGCATATTTAAATTATTTTTTTTTTTTCAATTTTCGCCTATGCGCTTTTTGTGCTTCTACTACTTGCTTCCTCTAAACTTCGTTTTACTCTGCTTTCTACGTATATTTGTTCACTAGATCCTTGCTTGCAGCGTTTTGCAGCACGTTCGTTCAATGCCTCGTTTCCTATGTTTGTTTCCTTTTTTTCGTTTTATGCCTTACGCAGCAAACACAAGGGATATTCACAGCAAAATGAATGTAAAAGCACTAATTATTACTTCACTTGTGTAGATGTGTGTGTAGTGGTAGTATTCATCTACACCTGCCAGCTGCAAAAGTTCTTTACGTTTTTTTTTATTTTTTATTTTTTTTTTTTCATTTTCTATGCACCAAAAGTGTAACGGAAAATTTACAGAAAATTGTTTTTTTATTTGACTTGCAAATTTTATTTTAATTTTATTTTTTATTTAATTATTTTTTTTTTTATTTTATTCAATTTTCTCTAACGTTTTAATTACTCTGTTGCTGCGTGTAATTTGGCAGCAATTTATTTATAAATATATTTTATTTTTTTCTATTTTTTGTTTTGTTTGTTTATTTTTTACTGTTGCCTGCTGATTAGTTTTCGTTTCGTTTCCGTTAATTCGCATATGCTCAATTGCAATTACTTGGCGTTGGCGACAACGTCAACGTTGCATGCCACACATTTCATTTAACAGCCATGCAATGAAAGCTGCCAGCTAACGGCCCGCATTGCTCGATGTGCAACTCAATTTGTGTAGTGCGAACAGTTTTTGCAAAAATTTGTGTGCAGATGTTTTTTGTTTTCTTTTTTTTTTTTTTGTTTTTTGTTATTTTTACTAATCTTTTTTATTTTTTTTATTATTTTTTTCTACTTGTTTTATTATTATTTTTTTCTTATTCTTTTTATAATTATTTCAATTTGTTTTAATTTTATTTTTCTCTAAATTTTTTTTCCGTTGCTTTTTACGCTTTACATATGCATATTTTTAACGCGTTTTCTTTGCTATTTTCTCGCAATTTCATATATTTCTGTCCCACTAGCTTTTTTTGATTTATTTTTTTTTCTATCTTTTGCTTGCACTGAATTCGCTTCACCTTTTTTAACTCGCCACCTTTCGTTGCTATTTCTTTTTTTTTTTTTTTGCAGTGTATTCTACGCTCTTCGCTTTGTTGTTGTTGCTTAATTTTATACACAAATTTTCTAATTTGTTGTACGTTGGCTAGCAAGTGCTTATTTGTTTGTTTGTTGCTATTGTTGCTGCTGCTAATTGGCTTGTAGCGTATTTTTAGTTGCACAAAAAATTTTGTTTTAATTTAATTTTTATTACACACACATACATATGAATATGCAAATACATATGTGTAGAATTGTAAATTATATTACAATTATTTGTGGTTTGTGGCTTTGCTCAGCAATTTATTGTAAATTTCGTTATATTTTTATTTTTATTATTTATTTTTTATGTTTCTAGTTTATTTTTTTTTTCTTGCTCTCCGTCAATTTGTTGTTATTTATTTAGGTGTTTACTCATAGACCGCGAGACAGTGTCTTATTGAAACATTTAAAAAACACGTACAGCCACTTGAGTAAATGAGAGTGTAAATCCGTTTACCTTCCTAATTAACAAAAAAAATAAAAAAAATAAATAAATACATTTTAATTAGTTTAAAAATAACTTTTTGTTCTTCTTTATTTCATTTATTTAATTTTTTACTTTTATTGCTATTCGTGCTGTGTTTTTCGTTCGTCAGAGCACAATTTTCTGAGAAGTGTGACTGTTTTTGGGCGTGGAAAGCTTCGTTTTTGAAAGTTATCTTTGTTTTATTTATAAAAATAAAAATTTGTGAACTAAATTTAATTATTGATTATGGGTTTTTTACTTGACTATTAGTTTATTTGTGGCCTCAAATATTTCATAAATATGAAAAAAAAAAACTGGTAGCAAAAATTAATCAAATGAAACTGAATTCAAAACTTCTATATACAAAAATTGGTTCATTTTTCACTTTTCCTTAAATGTTTTTTTAACTTTTGTTTTTTATTTTAATTTAATTTAATTTTTTATTCATAGTTTCTGCCTTAGTTTACTCTCCGATATTTCAACAATAATTTTTTATTTTTTACAGAAAATACTTTTTTATATTAATTGACTTTCAATTTGTATTTGATTACTGAAAAACAAAGAAATATATTTTTTTGTGTTGGGCGAGCTTAGACTATTATTGAAAACATTTTTAAAAATTAACTCCATTTTTCACTTTTTCGGCTTTTGTTCTGTTTATTTCGGTTAAACTGTTTTTCAGAAATTTTGTGTCACTAAGAAATGTTCTGTTTGATTAAAATATGCTAAAAAGACTTCAAAACCAAACAAAAACTTCATTGTTGTAAGGAAAATATTTATTAAAGAAACACAACTATATTATTAGTAAAAAATTGTTTCAATAAAAATGTTTATTCAACATGCTATTTTTTATTATTTCGATGTTTTAAGTTTACCACAAGTTTTTTTTAAATTTATATTATTTTTTTTGAATAATTAACCTTTTTTTTTGCTATTTTCTCTAAAATTAACTTGAAAATTTCGGTGCTCAATCTTTCAAAATTTTTAAACCTAAAATGAAAATCATGAAAATTTTCCAAATCGCAACAAAAGAGATCGTTAAAAGCTTAGCGTTTCCTTTTTTTTCTTAAATAAATTTTATTTAGTTTAAAGCCGAAAGAGACTTGACAATACAATTAAAAAATGTAATTGGTAAAAACTTGTACGCTTGTATTTATATATGTAAGCCATTTGCATTTCTTTATGTTTCAAATAAACTCTTAGCCAAGAAATTCGTAAATATTTTTACTTTTTATAAAAAAAATATCCAAAAAATTTCACTAATAATTTAACTTTGTTTATATAAAAAAAAAATTTCAGCATCGTTATTTTTTTTTGATATTTTTTTAACTATAAAAAATATTTACAAAATAAAATTATTAATAAAAAATATAATGTTATTGTATTTAATGAATTTTTTATGTTTTAAATCATTTCATACTTTGTTAACTTCCCTATAAGGGCAGAAATTTTACAACGATAACATTAATAATTTCCCGCTTTTTAAAATGTATATTAAAATTTTAATAATTATTTTTATTATTTCGTTTTTATTGAACACCAAAAAAATATAATTATTTCTTTTTTCATTAATTTTACACTACGAAACTTTCTACTTCACTCAAATAACAGCACACTTAATTAAACTGCATTTTTTCACGTGTAAAATATTTTTAAATAATTTATTTTAAAATACATCCAGTCTGCCATTTTCTGTACACATACATACATATGTATTTCCACAGTCTGTTCATTCTAATCACTTTCAAATGCTTTAATTAGCATAAAATATAAAATTTATTTTTATTTTCTTTTTTTTTCGTTAAAAATATTTCTATTAATTACTACTAATAAATTGTTTTTGTTTTTGTTTTTTTTTTTTGCACGCTTAATTAGTCAAAATTTTGTTGCAGCAGCAATTGCATTACTTGCGACAGCAATTCTAGTGGAAATTTTGTGAAAAAAGGGCACGTGATAGACGTAGTTAAAAAGCACCGTGATTTCGTTGTATTTGTTGTATTATATTTTTTTTTCACATGTATGTGTGTGAGTGTGCGTATATTCAAGCGATTACTTGCACAGTCGTATCTCTTTATTAGAACAGCAGCAAGCGTTGAGCACCGCAACCGCGTGCGTGTTTATTTGTTTCTTATCTGTGGTGGTCTGTGAGAGTGAGTGATTTAAGGTGCTTAACTCTTGTGAGTGATTGAAAGTAATTTAAATATTTTTTAACTTTTTTTTGATTAATTTAATTTTTCAAATGCTTAATTTTTTATGGATATTTCAACAGTTCTTTTTTTTAAATGATATATACATATATAATAATATTCTTTTTAATGACTTAATTCTTTGGAGCTTTTTTTTCAAAATTCTAGATTCATGTTAGACGGTTTTTGATTAATTTTTTTTTTTAAACTTGCTTAAATTATTTTTTTATTTTTTTTTTTAATCTGTCTTTAATGTTGCTTTTAAATTTTTTATTTAATTTTTGGGTATATATTTTTTAAAACATATATTTTATTTTACAGCTATCGGCTGTGTGTGTTATAATAAGTCTAAATTTTTATAATTAAATAAATTAGTATTTATTTTAATTATTATCGTCAAAAACTTTTTAAATTCTTTATAATTTTTCTTTTTTGTTTTGCACTACACACACACTACCTTTAAACGCTCGCGCTCGGCGACTTCTCACAGCGAGAGTTTGATTTTTAACGGAACTTCATTTCACCATATACAATTTTTTCTTCTTATAGTATTTTTAATTCTATTTTATTTATATTTTTTTTAATTTCCTTACACAGCGTTATCTATTTCTGCTTAAACTATATAGATAGACACACCCTCTCATATCTACATATGTATGTGCGTATGTATTTAATTTCAACCGCGCGCCCAGCACTTATACGCCAAGCAGGACCAAAGAGTTTTGTATGTTAAGTGTACAGATGAACGCTTCAACGCTTACTACAACTGTCTGCTGACCGAGTGCAGTTCCGACACTTGCAGCTGACTAAGAAGCGAATATATACACACATAGAATTTACACACACACAATCAAGCAATTACGATTGCGGCGGTGGCGTATACGCTACACAAGTTGGTAAGTGAGGTGAGTGAGCACACACACACACACACATACACAAAGAAATGTAATAGATGTAGACGAGCAGAGCTCACAGCTTAGAGCCGCATAAAAAACACGTGAAGGTAGCCCCCAATTGCTGTGCTGCTGCAACGCTGCTAGATGTGGAGTTGCTGATTTTTTTGTTGTTTTTTTTTTTGCACTTTTGACTTTTGAGTAGGCCACCAGGAGCAGCTGCATGCTTTTGTTTAATCGTTATTGGTGCATACATATATTGTATGCTACTATTATTATTTTTTAAACGAAAATTTGTTTTTCTTGCACTTTTTTTTTTGTACTTTTTGAAAATTCCACAACTGCACCCTTTACCACTCTATTTTAATTTTTAGCCATCGCTAACGCTTCTTTTTCTCCAAAGTCTTACACGGAAAAGCAGGCACTCACGCTGTGCAAAAAATCAATTGAGGCGAAACGTCGTCCTGCGCTTGGCGTATAACACTTCGCTTACTATGCGTACATATGTATATAAATGTATGTATTTACATATGTAAATAACCAGGAAACCACTTACACACACATATACGTATATATATATACAACAATAATTTGTATATTTTTCTTCTTTTCTTCTGGCTGAATATTTCCTATTTTTCATATTTTGCTTCACACAAAAAAATATCCTTTACATACATTTCATTTATTTTGCACACATTTCCTGCTTGTCTCGCCACAACACACTTTTCCTGCACGTTTTATTTAATTTATAAATTTTTCCGATTTTTTTTCCAAAAAATTATTAAAATTTTCTCACAATTTTACTTCAGCTAGCTAGAATTTTGTTGCGCTGCCTTGCACATTTTCTTTCCACTGTATTTCCTTGCGCGTTTTGTGTGTTGGTATTTATTCGAGATTCCGCGTACTGTGCTCTCGTGTGGCTGCGACTCGTGTGGGTGTCCCAAAAAATATAATGCTTATGCCTGGCTAAGTTGTTCCAAAATTGCTTTTTTTCAGCCATTGCACTGATGTGCGCGTGTGTGCGTGTGTGTGTGTGTATTTTGCTTGCCGTTTATTTTCTTTAGTAGCTGTCACTTGCTACTAACAATCGAAAGGATATTTTCGAATATCGAAAACAACGAAGTTCGAAAAAGTTCGCAAAATACTCGTGCGTGTATGTGTATGCGAGTGTGTGTACTTAAACTCGTAGAGAGTGTATTTACTTTTTTGTTTACTTCCTTCAACTGCATTCTTGGTTGAATTTTGTTGCTAATTTTAATCATTTTTTTTTGAGGTTGTTGTGGTTCTTGTTGTTGTTTCGGTAGCTTTTTTGTTTTTACAGCCCTCCACATAAAATTATTTATTTTCTTTCCTACCAAATTTCGCTCTCACCCTTCGAAAGTGCTGAGTGCCAGCAACTCTACTTAGTTTATACTCTTCGCTCTAGCAGCTCTCGAGGCAAGCGAGTAGTAACAATCGTTGTATGAGCGCACTCAAAAGCCGCTGCTTAGTCATAAAACTAAAATTCAGTACTGTCACTGAGTACATTTTTAGCGGCATATTGAGCATTTTTACGAAAGCTTAGTTGCATGTACAAATTATATTTAGTTTATATATACAGGTATATATATATGTGTGTGTGTGTACTCCGCACTCAGCACTCTACTTCGGCCGCTAACATTTAGTAGAAAACGCAAAATAAGTCAATAATGAGCGTTTTTGAGTAGAGAATATGTGAGCAGAGAGCGCGTATTAAGCTTTGGAAAAGCTCTTTTACTCAATTGGTGTATTTTTCAATATTTTTTTTTTACATTAAAAGCAAATATGCAAGGGCGTGTTTTTTCTTTCCTAAGCGCATGGCGCGTATAAAATATTTGATTTCTAATACGAGTTTTTTTCGCCGTCCAAAATGTCTTTAATCCTGCGCATTTTTGTCTGTGCGAGGCATATTATTTCCATTTGCATCCAGCTTAGTGTGTTGAAATACTCTGATTTTGTAGAAAATTCACATTTTTGTGATTTGAAATATTTCAAGGCGTTCAAACGAGTCATAAAAATTTATAAATCACACAAAAAGCACCAGAAATTACTAAGGAGAAGAACGAATATTCAACACAGACGAAGGTGTACTATTTAAAGTTTTAGAAATATTTTTTTTTATCTCGTTTACCATTTTATTTATATTTTTAATTATTTATTTTTTTTTCCTTTATTTATTTATTTTTTAAAAATATTTTATTTCATAATTGTTTATTTCTTTGTGTTACACTTATTTGAATAATTCATTTTTTTTTATTTTTTTAGTAATTTATTTAAATATTTTTAAGTGTATTTATTTATTTATATTTTTAAATTTTTTATTTATTGTGTTTTCCTATGTATATTTTTTATTTAAAATTTTTTTATTTATTTTGTTATTTTTTATATGTATTTTTGTTTATTTTTAATTCATATATACATATATTTTTATTACATTTATAAATGTGTGTATGCATATTATTTATACAATATAGATATGATTTCTTTGTATATCCCGCTCATGCTGAAAAAGTGACGTTAAATACTTTCTGAAATTCCTTTGCACATTTTGTTGCAATAGCTTAATGACTTTTGATACATTAATTTTGATTATTTTTTTTTTTTAATTAATTAATTCCCTTAAAATTTTCTTTCTCATATACTTTGTAGCTTCTTCTAAACATTTTCTACAATTTTGTTTATTATACACTGCTTTTATTGTTATTTCACTCATATTGTATGTACATATTTTCGTGAACACAGCACACCACGCTTAGTTATAGTAAACGCTCGAGAAAAAAAAATAATATGACAAGCATGACATCGCGTTGTGCGCACAATATTTAATTAAGAGCACAAAACACTTTTTGCGTTAAAATTATATATTTGTTGATATTTCATTAGAAAGAAAAATTTATATGAAATTAAAATATTTCATGGCTGAAAATATTACAAAAAGTAGTAAAATTGTATGAAAATAAACGAATCTCTAATTCTTCGATTAATTAAATTTTTTAATTGATTAAATTTTTTGGATTTTTTTTATTTTTATTTTATTTCATAAATATTTAAACAGATATTTAATTTAAAATTAACTTCTTTATGTTTTTTTAATTTGATGAATTATTTTTATTTATTTTCTTCTTTTTTCTCTGTTATTCTATTTTTCAAAATTATAGAAAATTAATTTTTCACTTCACAACAACATTTTTTTCTGGACACTAATAATTCATTAAATTGCTGTTGTTATTTTTAAATGAAGCGCTGTTTTTGTACACCCAACAATTTTTTACCAAATATTTTTCTGGCAAATTTTCCACCAAGCACATGTAAAATTTGTATTATATTTTTAAACTCTTCTGCATTTTAAACAAAATTTGAAATCAATTTTTTAGCCAAATTTTTATAAATTTTTTTTAATAATTTTTTTTTTTTGTAAGAAATGGAGAAAAGGAAAACTAAAGCATCTGCGTATTGAGAATCACAAGAACCGTGAACCGTGAACCGAGAACCGAGATTTGGTGTTCCACACCGAAATCGCTGGCATACACCGCCGCCGCGTTGTTGAGCACTTCTGAGCGTTACGTTCGCTTTTTTCGCGCTTTCGAGGTCCGCATGTGAGTAGCAGACGTAGAATAAATATCTCATAGCTGCTGTTGGCATTGCTATATTGTTTTGCCTTTGCCTTTTCCTTTGCCTCTGCCCTTTCGACGTTGCCTCTCTTTCTGCGAAACGTTTTCACAGATATATAAACACACACACACACACACACACACACACACATTTATGCCGCTCCGCACCACGTTAGCATCGTTTGGCAGTCGGGCTAAGTAAAGAGTAAAACAACTTGTATATGTGATATGTTTGTATGTTTTTATGTATGTAATAGCATGCTTTGGCTTGCCAACGCCGGCAGCTAATGTTCCCCCCACCGCCAACGTCTTCACTCCTTGCTCTCAGACACAAGCATTGTCGTTTTTACATATGTGTGTTGTTATGAGTATGTGTATTTGTGTCGTTGTCGCAATCTATTCCGTGGCTATCGTTCAGTTTTTGTTCCACCTCCTTCATCGTGTTTTGTTCTCGTGTCGATGTTGTTGGACTTTGCTTTCGTTATCGTTGTTGTTGGTGGTTTGGGGCGAATACTACATAAATGCATACATGCATATATTGAGTTGTTGTTGTTGACTCAATTATTTGCTTAGCCACTGTCGTTAGGCGCGAATGAGGGACAGTGGGTCATAAATAATGGAAAAGTTATTGGGCTGAGAAGCAAAGTGAATCAACCCAAAATGCTGTCGAACGTATCATTCCAGGACATATTTACATCGATAAAATGAGCTGATAATAATAGATTTGATAGACAAAAATCAAAGGCTATTTCGGTTCAAAAGTTTCTTAAGGAAAACCAGATTTAATTAATTTCGTAGTTTGCGTTTCGCTGGTACAGTTAATAAATTTCTATAAATTTTTTAATTTCTCGTCGTTTAGACCAAAGTTAAGTTTAAATAACCTTACATATCTTTGAAAGTAAACAGAAAATTGTGACAATCCTCGTATTTTGTATTCCCCTGTTTGCGTAGTTTAAAAGTGTTTTATAGGCGATTGCTTTAGACCAGTTCTGGAGCTTTCTCTGGCTCTTAGATGTTAAAACATCTGATTCGGTTGCTAGCCGAATACAGACCTATTCTGTCGAGGCAACAAAATTTACTTTGGTATTAAAATTTACCATCCAATAAATTTTGTTACTTTTTCGTATTCTGAGTTCACTGTCGCCATGTAAATTTTGTTACCAGCGAAATGGGAGGTAACAAAAAAATCTGTTTTTTGATTTAGTGTTGTTAATTTGAGAAATAATAAAAACTAATATGGTTAGGCATATTTTAGGCCTGGAATTCATTGAAGATGAAGGAAAAAGTTTAAAAGTCTCTTTTAGTTTGGAAGATAGTGTTTTCATTCAGCTTTTTTGTCGTTTAGGCATGTTTTCCAAAATTAGATTCAAATATTTATGACTTAATAAACTAATAAATAAAAGCATTGCTGCCAAAGTTTTTTTAAACATTAAATCCAGTTCTCCAGAATACCAAATTCAATTTCGAATGTTAAGAAAGTAACAAATTTTAAAAAAGTAACTTTAAGCCATTTTATCAACTATTGCACCCATCAAAAGGCTCTTGTGACCTAGAACCCAGTAAATATGCAGTCGCTTTCACGCAGCCACCCGATTCAATGCCTACCAGGTTATAAGAACATATTTTGCGGTAATACAATTTGAGAAAATCTGAAAAATGTCATGTCCTTATCTCTTAAATTGAAGGAATTTAAAATCCCTTACTTTTTTCTTCAGAAAAACGTAAGAATTAGAAAAATAAGAATCATCGTACAAAAATCTCTTCTTAGCTCTATAATATGAACATTTTGTCAAAATTATGTATGTATGTTTATTTGAAAAAATGTAAATTGCCAATAATTATATGACAAGAGTTGAAGGGAAAATCTGTAAGATATGTGTGCTTTTTTGACGTCAACTACGAGTTGTAAGAAAATTAGTTT